AACCTTGACTAGCTCATATTGCAAGCATTTTTAACCCTCTCAAGACGAATGCAAAGTTTTTTTGGCTTCGATTGCATTAGTGCTGAATTTTTAGACTTAAAGTCAATTGAAGATTTTTTTCCAAGCCCCATGAAATGGAAATTTTTTAACTAAATCAAAGAAAAATGCAACTTATTGTATGGTAATGTGTGAGATTAAAACATGATTAAGACAATCTATATTATGAATACGTATTAAAGGAAGTCAATCAGATGTCCCTTGGTTCAAAGCCAAATTTGGCTCGTTTGTGGGCGATTTGGATTATCAGAAAAGGAGGCTCCAGAGCCTCTAAAAAAAATATGAAGTTGTTATGTAATAGTAAGTCTCATACTCTTCTAAAATCCATATAATGCGTTTCGCCTCGGCGTAGGCTTCATGTAGTTTGGACAGGCTCTGATGCTCTAAGCTGGCAAGCAGGAGTAATTCTCGCTCGACACGCTGCCTGCGCTTTTCCGACTCCTCAAACCACCGTGAGTTCTGTTCACTGATTCGGTGAGAGAGGTGTTGGCCGCTAGTGGTGACAGAAGTGCCGAACATCGCGTGCTCCATTTCAGCATCCTCGGGTGACATCCGTGGTCCCTGAAGGAGGCGATGCGCCAGCGCATTGGTTGTCCTCGGGCCAAGAAATCGGTCGGCCTGGTCCATCTCAACCACCTTCGAGAGCCAGAGGCGGCCAGTGGCCTTCTCGCGAACGCGCAGCAATCGAGCATTCTCCGTGCTTGCAAGCTCTTCTTGGATTGTGTATCGTGAATCAAAGGCTTCGTTTGAGAGACGCCGTAGCCAAGCCCCCGGTTCCACGGTTTCCAGTTGGCCCGGCGTTAGAAGACGAGCCGGTTCGCTAGGCCAGCTGGCGGGGCCAAGGCCGTGCCAGTTCTCGAGGCGAACGCGGAAGCGGTAGTCGACGTCCGGCTGCATGAGGCTTCCAACGGGAATGCTGGTTGCGTCCACAGAGGTGGTGCCGAGCAGCTGCCAGCTGGCCTCATCGTCCAGCTCATCACCCGCGGCTCGTTTCGCTCCTGCTGTGGGCTCGCGGCGGTACTCGACCCTGTAACCCGTGAAGGGGATGTTCTGCAGCAGGTCGGAGCTGTCAGGTAACAGGTGGTGCCTGCTCGCTGCCGACCAACGGACCTCTAAAGTGCCCGGGCCATGCGGCACGACGGTGGGTGGCGGGAGTCGAACCTGCGGTCTATCCTCAATCCGCAGTTCCAGGTCTATACAATCCTGGCCGGCCTGGTTCTCCACCCACAGTCTGTAGGAGCCCTGGTCAGCCAGACTGACTGCATCCAGCTCCATTTTAACCCAGCGTCCGCCACCCACCACCTCGAGATGGGCGCGCGGCACGAGTGCCGGCCGGTCGAGGCACCGCCGTAATCGCCGGCCAGCTGCAGTCTCAGAATCCGTCAGCCTTTCCAGCCAGACAGAGGTGATCCAGTTGCGGCCCAAACCAATCATGGCGGTAGGAAGCTCGAGAGGTAGGCGAATGCTCCACGAGTCGCCGCGTAACACAGTAAACTCCCTGCTGCCTGAGGCACTCAAGTCATAATGTCGGAAGCGGGCGGCCGCCAGGACGTTTAGCTGCCAGACGACACTTTGCGTCTCGTATACGTTGGAGGCGCGGCACTCCAGTTGCCCGGCGTGATGCGCCTTAATGCGATCCACACAGAGCTCGAAGGCATTCTCTCCAAGTCGGCTGATGCTATAGTCCAACAGCCTGCCTTTTAGCTGTGCCTCGTCGTCTTCGTAGAGCTCCTGGTGATTCAGATGCCATGTCACATGTGGCACCGGCTCGCCCTCCAGTTCGATGGTGACCACAAGCGTCTGCCCGAGGGCGCAGTTGATCATACGTTGATTGTCCAAGTGGAGGAAGCGAATTGCTTTGCGCCGATGTAGCGGAACCAGAGCTAGCGGCTCCGGAAGCATGGCCGGTATGCTCTCGATACCGTCGGAAATGGCGATCACTCGGAAGAACCAGTGCCGCCGTCTTATCTCTTCGAGACTTACGGTACGTCGAATACGTCGACCTGACGAGCCGGGTTCCTCATGGCCGGAGCGGATGACTGAGCTAACTTGACCCGCAGTCAATGTGGAAGTGTTCACCAGCTCCTCAAGATCAATCGGCCTGAGTTGATAGGTGGTGGACGAGATGCTTTTGGCCAGCACGATCCAGTCTAGCTGAGATGCTTCCGAAGCACGGGCCTCCAGGCGGTATCGGAGCTGCGCAAAGGGAGGTCGTGCAGTGGCTGCTTTCTGATCTGAACCAATCAGTTCAGGGGCGATCCAAGAAAAGTGAATCTCATCGCCATCTGTATGATCAGGTATTCTGGCAGTCAGCCGCCTCGGTGGCGGCAGGAATCCGGCTCTCGAAGTGCCTGAAGTCAAGCCGGGCTCCATGACACCAAGCATGGTGACCGGACCCGGAAGACAGAGAACTCGTGAACTGCGTTTGTCTTTGGCCAATTTGTCGACGGCGACCAGACGGAAATCGTAAGAAACGCCCGGGTGCAGGCCGGTCACCTCATAGCTCACCACAGAGGCCATGGATGGCAGCTGGGCTACAGGCTCCCAGATATCAGTGCCAGTGCCGATCAGCCGTTTTTCCAAAAGAAGATTGCCCAACACCCTGTCAGACTGGGCCTTTGGCACCGGCTTCCAGCTGAGTAGCACTGAATTAGTACTAGTGTGTAACACGCGAAGGGAGTCGGGCAATAAGTTAGAGAGATGACTGTTGCTTCCAGATTCGGCGCGCTGGAGTGGTGCGAGGCTATCAGTGTGCATACTTTCCGTTTCGCGATTAAGGCCAAGTAGCTCCTCATCATACTCCTCGTCTGTCGGTTCGTCCACCCGGATCCAGTCGGACATGAGGGCTGCAGTGCTTGCAATCAGGTTGTACCGGAGGCCTGGTATGTCGACACCGCGATCTGAGAGGCCTGTGCGAATACGCAGTTGGCAGGTCTGATCCAGCCAAATTAGATGCGTCAGATTGCTTGTTCTTGCCAACTCCATCCACATTCGCCTGCCAGGTAGTCGTTGCTCAATGACGTACTCAAGAGTATCTTCGAGTAAATGCATCCAGTCGGGCCGACTAAGAGAGGCGGAGTGCCAGTGGAGGCGATAAGCACCGGTAGGCATGCGGACGATATCAAGTGGGCCCGAGGGCGGTGGAAGGCTGTAATGAGTGCCTTCTTCAGCAGCTAAGCGTTGCTCAAGGCTAAGTAAAGGAACCCGAAAGGTCGAGGTGGACTCGAGTGGTCGGCCGATTAAATCGTCTCGATAAGCTGTCACTCGGAACCGGTAGGACTGACCAGATGTCAGGCCACTGATAAGAAACTGCGGTAAGTGGGCATCCAATTCCCTTGCAGACACTCGTGCCACAGTGCACCAACCCTGGGAAGTGTCGGAAAGATCGTACAAGTCGATAATATAGCCAGAGAGTGGCTCGCGAGGAGGAGTCCATGATAGTTCGACAGCGGGTGTCGCGAGCGGGCGCTTGCTGGAACACAGACGCAGTACTCCGGACAAGTTAGGTGGTCGCACTAAAGGAAAATAAATAAATATGAGCTGTTAAGGCTTAACAGGATATTCAACTTAGCTTGTAGATAGGGTGGGTTTTTTAGAGGTTCCGGATCGTTTTACCTAAATCCTTCAAGCGCAAGGATAATGTCTCATGAAAAGTAGCTTTCGATTTACGACTTTACCGATGATAGTATACTTCGTCAGCATAAAAAACATAAATTGATTTTGCTTGACTTTGTAAACCTTACTCAATCAGGAATCCTTCGCCATAGTAGCCATGATAATGCCCAGCATTGGAACAGTGATTTGGTACATTCTCAGACTTTTCGACAGAATCGTCAGTGAGAAACACCATACTCAGAATGAAGCAACAACCCGTCGAATTATCAAGTGAAGACAATCATTTTGGTCATGTTTTTATTAAACCCCTATATCGTCTCTCCACCCCATCCTCTCCTAGCTCCTAGTTCTATGTCCTCTACCTACATTTACCTACCTCATAAAGAAATTTTTCCTTACAACAACTCTTTGTGAGGTGGGGTTGAGGAATGAGGATCCAGCTCTAGAAATTTGGATCGTAAAGTAGAGCTGCTCCGAATGGTAAACAGGTAGTTGATAGATCAATGCCTTTACAACGATGACAGCAAAATATCTGTGAATGTACCAGATCAACGGTCCATAGGCGGAAATTATCATGGCTACAATGACATAGGAGGCAGTACGAGGTAAGCTTTTTAAAGCAGCCCTGTCCCCATGACTAAGTTGCGAAAAGGAAACCAAGCAACTCTAAACAGAAAAAATGGACTGTGACAAAACCTAAGGCCACATCAACTTGGTCTTAATATTTATTTAATGATTAATTGCTCCGAAGTTTAGAGCGCGAATAATCTATTAATAAGGGAAATGTAAAGCTGAAAATAGGCTGTAGCAGAAAAGAAAGTGTTAATAGAAGGAAACAGCTTTTCAAAGGCCGCTTACTTGTGAAGGCCGGCACCTTGAATGGCATCGATAGCGCCGGCTTGCTGAAGACAACCTGTGATAGAACGGAGGCCGAATCCTGACGGTGCAATCTAGAAGTGGAAGCTCGGCCCCAGCTGCTCTGGCGTGCAAGACCGAGAGAGGCTGTCGACGACAGGCGCTCTAAAGAGCTCGAGACTGGGCCGGCGGTCGACTTGGAGGTAAGGCGAAACTCATAGGCCTCACCGGGGACAAGATCATTGGCCTCATACGAAGTCTGCCAAGCATCTAGGTTGGCCAGTTGCTGCCAGTCTTGGGCAGATGACAGACGGCGGTACTCAAGCAAGTAGCCTATCGGAACGCTTGGTAGGAGAGGGGAGCTGAGGACAGTTGAGAGGTTGGCTCGAGACTGTCGACTTGTTGGGCGAGGTCCGGTCGCTGGAGGCAGCCATGAAATCAGCGCACCTGATCGATCATCAGACAACGGAGCCACGGAAACATGCATCGGGGGATCCGGTGGAGCTGACCGATGTAGAGACAAGGAAAGGGAGTCAAATGATGACAGATACAACTGAGATGTCTGCTTGTCAAACGGCATTCCATTGATCCCTTACAAAGCTGTATAACTATTGTAATGAATAACTTCTATATATACTCAGACCATTTCGATAAAGTAACATGTTTTCGACTTTCCACAGAAAGGACGAAGAATTGGTTATCTTGGTGAACTTGATTTGCATAGAGGCAAATCCAAATGATTGATTAATTATTCTAATTTGTAGTCTTTTCTGCAAGCCTATGCGACTCCTCGTAAATAAGAATTATATTCACTCTAGGCCACCTTTGGTAACGAAATGGTAGTTAATTTTTCTCAAAATGATATTGATAGGCCTTACGATGTCAACGAATTTCATTTCGCCTTTCCTCCTAATAGGTATTCTCATTCAGAGTTTACTTCAATTTTCACTTCGCCTTGGTCTTATCAACGCTTTCAGTGGAAATCGGACTCGGTTAAAGTTATGACACATAATCACGGTGCCAGATAGCCACTAGTGCAAGCGGGTAGCAGTAAAAACATGATTTCCCAGCAG